ACTTACAAGAGATTAAGTAAACAAAATTGTTAACTGATTATATCGAGTAGTATATCAAGCAAACTAAAATGTACATGGTATCTAATTTAAAGCTTGAAGTTAATGCATTTATTTTAGATATTATATTCAAACTGAAGTGTTCAGTAATGATCATTAATATCTATATTTGTCAAAGCATTTATTTCTTTAACCAAAATATTTCTCTAATCTTCACATTTGTGCACTCTTAAACCTTATGGAACAAATTAGTGAATAAAATAGTATCTAAAGCTGCATTTGTAAGCAGTGTATTTATTATTCTACACCAAGATGGAACCACAAATTGGTTGCTTAACTGAGTTATTATTACTAATGATTTTTTTAGTTTATCAATTGTCAAAAAGCTTCTTACTTCTTGATTTAATTCGTTCCATAATCACACTGATGATGGACAAATCAAATTTAGAGAATATCTTCAGCCTCGTAATGAATTCTAAATTCTGTTTGATGACATTAATTTAAATCATTCCCTCTTTTTATTAAGGGGAATCATGTAAATATTCAAGTACCCATGGCCTTTAAATTTACAACATTTAGAACAAGTCTGCATTGCGTAATTGGAGAGACGGGACCAAATTTCAAACTATGAAAGTCTCGGATTAAATTGGCGGCGATTTGATATTTTTTAGAAATTCATTTACGTACTAAATAATTAGTACAACAGTTAAAATTATAAAACGAGTCTAGACTAGTTTCATTAGAGATATAATTGATCTATATGATCATTAAATTTTATTATATGACTATAAAAAATCTTTTTTCTCTTTGGCTAAAAACGTAGGGAATCTTCTTTGATAAACGTTATATTCCCCGCGGGTGGTGTTGCTTTGTTAGCATTGCTTTGCATGCAATGAAAAAAGAACATGACCTATAATGGTTTACTTTTATAAATTTTGACTTGGATGGAGAGTTGTCTCATTGGCACTCATACCACATCTTTTTATATCTATATAGTAATTGGTTCCAGTGTTGCAAGTATAGGTCCACTTAACGTTTTTACGTCGATAGATTTAATTTGCGCCCAGAAATAAAACAGTAAACCCATAGCCCCTGAATTATTTTTGCTCGCGTGGTGACAAGAATAATAAGACGTTATTTTGAATGTTTAAAGGCCTATATCATATTTTTTAACATGCATTTTACATACATATCTAAATCTTATTCACGCTACACATAGTTGTTGAAGATCAGTTGGATACACAATTGCAAAGTTTACATGTTTTTTTAAAGATTTTATTTGAAAAAGACCCATAACAGAATTGTAATAGATTATATCTGTTATTAATACATAGGTTAACTTCCAATAGTTTTTTTGTTAAAGTTAAGAATGATCCTCAGTTTCAAATGTCAAATTGTTGCTGAAAAATAAAGCCGATTTTACAAATTATTATGATATCATTAAATATTAGTAATACAAAGAATGTGGGATAAATGGAAATACATGTGACCAAAAGTAATACGGGAATTCACATTTTCATTACGTACTGGAGATTTTCGGATAATTTCAGGAAATTTCGACGGCTGCTTAGGACGAGTTTCGGTTTCAAAGACCAAAATTCAAGAAAAAAAAAGAAGAAAAAAAAAACTCTAAAACAACAGGTTTAACGGACGAATGATCAGACATAATTATTACCATACACCCCGCTTTCATAACACCGGATATTCTCACAGAGGCGTTCACTCAATTCCTTAAAGGTGAAAAACAGCAAAATTAGTATTCAGTTTTAATCAAATTTTGCAGGGAAAACAATCATCTTTTGAATTAAAATCTTAAAATTTATGTCCTTGCCTTTATTAATACTCCGTTCCTTAGCCTTCGTTTGAAATTCGTTTGAAATTAATTGCTAAAAAGTAGCTGAGTGCATTCAAATGAAATTAAGCATTTCTCTTTGACAATTTTCCTACTCGATATTGCAACACTGATTTGAAATTTGATATAATATATTGCAATGTCGTTACCATTCAATCTTCTTAATGTTTATGTGCTGAATTTGATATTTCATTTTTGAAGGAAAAAAGTTGTAATATGAAATCCTAAAACTCTGTTTTTTTATATTTTCAAAAGTCAGTACTCTATAAATTGCCACCATCGAATCAACATTGATCCATTTTAAATACTAAACTACATCACAGTAAAATTCTGCATTTAAACTTCTGATAAACCATAGATCTGTCAATGCAGTCACTGAGACCATAACAACGACTTCCGACCGGTTGACATATTCTTGACTTAGTGAACTAGTAAGTATTTTTGGGGGCATAAAGTGAATGATACACATCCGGTTTATGGGGATGATACACATCCGGTCTATGGGAATGATTGTGTTGCGGCAATGCTGTATATGTGGTTTTTCTTTTGTTCATTGTGTTATCTGTGTTTTTGCAGCTCATAGCTTTTGATTGCCCTCCCTAGGTATCTTAGTTTTCTTTTTGAATATTTTAGAAACATTTAGCTTCTAAAATAAGTTTCCATCATTTTAAAAATATGTTTGTAGTTATTAAAATTATATAAAATTGAATACATTTTATTTTAAAACCACAACTTTTAAAAAGGGACTTTAAAGCATAATGCAATAGGAACTGCACACTTTTTTCTCTTAAAGTTAAATTAGAATTTATTGTTGGTTGCTTAACGTCCAGTGGCAAATATGTCATGCATGTTAAGCCTCAGAAGCCTCGTTGTAGCGTGGTCGATTCGGATGCGGAAGGGGTCGAACCAAAAACTTAAAAATTGGTGTATGTTGCTTCTTCTCCAAGAACGCATCATATAGGAATAAGCAATGTGCAGTCATTAGTCATAGTTTAAACAAATTAGGACTCCTATTATCTTAGTTTGTAAAAGTTTGTGGACAAAACTTTATGAACCGTATTTGCGTTTCTATCTTGTCTTGAAGATTTAGTTTTGAGTCTTTTTTTATCATTTTGTTACTTTTACATAGTTGGTATTGGCTTACTAACGATTAAGCATATATAGCAGTTATTGATTATGACCTTTAACGTCTGGTGAAAAATATCACATGCATATCAAGACGAGCCCATCTTAATATGATTTGAATATGTACTAAACTAGACATGCAGAGCTGGATTCTTTAACGTGCTATTTCACCTTAGTTTAAACATATTTGAATGCAAAATGGATAGGACACAAGTTATAACAACATAAGTGATGTCCTCTCCCTATAACAACATCAACACAAAATAAATTAAAATTAGATTGCTAGTTCACTGGTAACAGTTTGCAAGAAAACATGTCACCCTACCTTGACATATTACTCTGACTCAAAGCGCAAACTGCACATTGCTTACTCCTATACGTTCTTGGAGGAGAAGCAACAAAAACCAATTTTCAAGTCTTTGGTTCGAACCCTTCCGCAACGAGGCCACCGAGAATGAATAAATTATGATAAACATTATACAGCTTTACATCTACAACTACCAGTATTTAGTGACGTCAACTTGGTTTATTGTGAAATTATTTCTTTTTCTGACCTAACTATGACGTGGCTTGTATTTTTTTTATCTTGCTGATAGGTGTTCATGAGCTCAAGTTTATGTAGATAGGTCTTCCGATAAAATACTTTGTCGGAACACAATATGAAAACCGTTTTGAATTTTCTATTATAATCGAACGTTTTCTTTCTTGCGATACACTCGTTTTAAGTCTCCGTCCAAATATAATGAATCCCTAAAATGAGAATATAGCTTTAAATGAAAGAAATGTTTCTTCAATTAAGAAATGAATGATTCTTTGTGTAATTTTATTGGTGTGTAAAAGTGTTGACCGAAGCACATTTTGTATGAAAAGCTTCATTTTAAAAATGTGTGTACGATCAACACTTTTACAACCTTATCAAATTACTAAAAAAACATTCATTTCTTATTATCGCATTTTTATGCTAAGACCATGAAAAAAAAGTTTTATCAAGTTTTTTCTTTTATTTACCTGTGCACTTTTTTAAGGAAGCACGTGACATCACAAATGTAACATTTCATTTTGATATGAAAGTTAATTTTTGTAGCGTCCCCCTGTTCACCTCCTCAAGATTGAATTCGAATTGTTCTTAGCTTTTTAGAGCATGAATTAACTTACATTGGAAGCAGAAAGGAATAACAACTTATTTCAAGTACCATGCAGAGATATACACGAGAGAAAATGCTATGAACAAAATCTTGAGAGAGATTAGCATAACTTGGTATAATGCTTTGAGTTTTACAACAAAACAAAGCAACGACAATATTAAATGAACAGACATTAAAAAGAATTCAATTTATTTCAAGATAAATGTACGCGTTATACCCTTCTTAGAAGAAGCGTTGACATTTATCTTACGATACTGTGGTATAAATGTACGAAATAGTCCATTCTTAGAGGTAGTTAAGTTACACAATTCAATTTATTTCAAGACAAATATACGCGTTATCCCCTTCTTAGAAGAAGCGGAATAATTACATTCATACTATTGTGTATTGTAGGATATATATTGATCTTAATGCAATATTCCTTTTTACATATCCAGAAATGTTCGTAGTTGTAAATGTGTATTTTACTAATAATTGTTTAGATAAATTCAAATGAATCTAAGATTATTTGATATCAATTATGAAATGCTAAAACTAGATAAGTTTGACTTCCTTTTAGGTCCCTTTTTATCATACAGCTCTTCACGTGTTAGGTATTTATACATATTTGGCCGGTTTTGTTTTTGTATGAGTGTTCCTGATGAAGGTTAATTCAGAAAAGCGCTTTCGTATGCAACAATTCTGCAAATTGATTTTAATTTAAGAATAGATACAAAGCTCTTGTATAATTAATAGACAAATGAAAGTATTTATATGATAATTGCAGTTATATTGATCAACACAATCTGAAATCATGGTCTGGATATAAAAAAAAAAAAAAAACATCTTACATTCAAAATATTCTTACATAAAAGTATTAAATATAAAATAAAATGCATTACCTGAGCAATTACGTACACAATTTAATATTTTCCTGGATGATTACGGAAACACTGACATAACCATTAAAATAAGTCTAATCATCAACAGACAATTAAATACTGTTTTCTAACAAAGTTATCCATTAGCAGAGTAAAATTCCCAGTAGACATAAGTAACAGTTTTGATTTAATGAAAAAGTACAAACATTTGTAGAAACTGAGCACTTATTATAAGCCTGGTATCTTTGATGAGTTTTTAATAAAGAGAAATGCATTAACTATTATCGACAAAATAGTACTCCTCGGTTTCACCACTGACACTAATCGCTATTAGATATTTCTATCTAAAACCGTTGGTTAAAGGCTACTGTCACTGATCGGTTTATAGATATTTCTATCTACAACTATTGGTTAAACGCTTTTCGTCACACTGCAGCAGTGGGAATTAAGTCCGATTTGGTATGATTGCTGTTATGTGATCTTACAAGCATGATAATATTGGAGGAGTTGTGCCTCATGAAATTGTACAAATGGTAAAAGCTGGTTTCCAATATTGGACAGAAATTACTGATTCCCAATGTTTGACAGAATTTACTGATTCCAAATGTTTGACAGAATTTACTGATTCCCAATTCTGGTCAGAAATTTCTAATGTCGAATGGTGGCAGAAATTACAGGTTCCAAATATTGGACAGAAAATAACTGGTTCCCATTGTTGGACAGAAGTGAATTATGGAGTTATTTCCAAGCAATTGTACGATAATAATTGGTATTTTATTTATGACATTTTGATATTTTCTAATTCCTTTTTACAGTACATTATCACGTTTTAACTTTCCAATCTGTTGCAAGTTATTAAACATGATAAAGATCAAAAAGATTTCTTTTAGAAGAATTATCTAATGATTGAACTTCATTCTGTACTGACATCCGTTCTAGTGGAAATAAAAGGAAGAACTCGGTAGAACACACATGCCAATTTGGTTATTATTAAAACTGTTGTATGTAAGATATATTTTTCTGTTATTTGTTAATCGAATTAAACGTTTTTCCACCGTAAAGGATGTGAAAACAGTCAGTGTCGTAAAGAAATGACATAGGAATTAGTTTTGTTAATTATTTCTCTATCTATTTTATTATTTGAGCTATGCAATATAAAATTGAGAATGAAAATGGGGAATGTGTCAAAGAGACACCAACCCGACCATAGAACAGACAACAGCAGAAGGTCACCAACAGGTCTTCAATGCAGCGAGAAATTCCCGCACCCGGAGGCGTCCTTCAGCTGGCCCCTAAACAAATATATATACTAGTTCAGTGATAATGAACGCCATACTAAACTCCAAATTATACACAAGAAACTAAAATTAAAATAATACAAGACTGACAAAGGCTAGAGGCTCCTGACTTGGGACAGGCGCAAAAATGCGGCGGGGTTAAACATGTTTATGAGATCTCAACCCTCCCCCTATACCTCTAGCCAATGTAGAAAAGTAAACGCATAACAATACGCACATTAAAATTCAGTTCAAGAGAAGTCCGAGTCTGATGTCAGAAGATGTAACCAAAGAAAATAAACAAAGTGACAATAATACATAAATAACAACAGACTACTAGCAGTTAACTGACATGCCAGCTCCAGACTTCAATTAAACTGATTGAAAGATTATGTCTTATGTATATAATTTATATATTTTTATACCTATTCAATGATAACATATTATCGGACATTTTGAACCGACTTTAAATCCTCGGCTGTTAGTATTTGACGTCTTGAATCTTTGTTCCACAGAAAAAAGATGGTAACAAGTAAAATAACAAAAATACCGAACTCCGATGAACATTCAAATCGGAAAGTCCCTAATCAAATGGCAAAATCAAAAGCTCAAACACATCAAACGAAAAGATAACAACTGTCATATTCTTGACTTGGTACAGGAATTTTCTTATATAGAAAATGGTGGATTAAACCTGGTTTTATAGCTAGCTAAACCTCGCACTTGTAAAGCATTTCGTTGAGTTTGTGAAACTCAGTACAAGTGACTCTTTCACCTTATAGAATTTCGAATTAAGAATCCTTCAAAATACTTCATCTTGTTTACTTCTTTTTGCAATTAAATGTAATATAATTAAAAAACGCAACTGCTTATACGATGTATAGTTATTACGTCATTATTTCTATCTACAAGCTATTGTTGCTTCCATTCATTTTGTGTTCAAGGACACGTGATCGTGGTTCCTATAACACATATGACGGACGTGCCTGCTACATATAGTATGAAAATTACCTGACATTAAATTTTTATTTTTGTGAAAACCGAATGAGTATGTATTGACGATTTATTACTTGAATGGGTTCTTTTCAGATGAAATGAGTTGTAATGATAATTTATTACTTGATTTAATTCTTAAAAGATGAAATACTATTTATGCAAAGGCGACATCTGCAGAATCGTTTTTTTCAAATCTAAACGAGGCCACGCGGTGCTATCAATATCGAATGCTAAAACATTTACGCCCATTCGTGAATTTAATTTTATATGATAATTTCTGAAGAAGTTTGCCTTCGCAAAATGTTTCAAACCTCGCTTTTTAGAGGTGTTTAAGAAATATTGACTTTCAGTCATCTCTCATTTTAGAAATCGAAAATGAGGATATATCTGGTTTTTTCCCTATACTGCGAAATTTCTTCAATGGAAGAAAGGGCCACCTATACATTTCAATAAAGGCAACAGTAGTATACCGCTGTTCGAAACTCATAAATCGATAGAGATAAAAACAAATCCGGGTTACAAACTAAAACTGAGGGAAACGCATCAAATATAAGAGGAGAACAACGACACAACAAAAACACATTAAAATGTAACACACACAGAAACGAACTATAATATAACAATGGCCATTTTCCTGACTTGGTACAGGACATTTTAAGAAAAAAATGGTGGGTTGAACCTGGTTTTGTGGCATGCCAAACCTCCCGCTTTTATGGCAATGTTAAATATAACATTAAACTGACAACATTACATGACAGGATTACAATACAAATAAATGGGAGACAATACAATATGTGTTTTCATACCTATTCTAATAATTAAAATAATTCATTGTTGGGCATTGCCTCCACATGGGTCATATACTACATTTATGTATTTAACGATAACAATACTGTATTGGAAGAGTTTGACTTTAAGCATTAAGTAGTTGTATATAAGACATAAACACTACGATTCAACTGATTTTATAATTGTTAGAGTTACCTCCGCTAATTGAAAACAAAAGTTCGATTTTCGTTGTCTTTTGTGTTGTTCTGTTTTACAGTATATAAACAAATTCATCATAGATACCAGGATTAAAATTGGGTACGACAAACGCGCTTTTCGTCTACAAAAGATTCATCAGTGACACCCAAATAAAAGAAAGTTAAAACGTAATTTATTCAATCAATGAATGCCAAATAAAGAATATATAGGAAAATACCTCTAACCCAAATCCCCCCTATGTTTTGTTAAACTAGAAAGATGTTAACTTTATAAGTTTTGTTGAAATATTATTCAGTTTTTTATTTTTCTGCTGATCTAAACAGATCTAAATGCCACTTTAACGGAGTAGATATTTTCGTTTTGGCATAACACACCTTTTTTACATAAATTTAGCACATGCACTTATTTCATAATAAATAAAAAAAAATTAAAAAATTCTTACCTGTCAAGGTTTAAACAAAAAATGTCCAATAATTATTATAATTGATCCGACTTTATTTTCTTCTTATTTACATCACAAAAGTCTCGTAATTACAACCTAACTGATAATTGCGTAAATACCGTCTTTACATTTAGTTCAAATCAAATAAGTGACTGCAAGACTTATACTGAATTGATATATAATTGTATATACTTTTCTTACTATTCCTAGTCTACTAAATCAATACAAACTGACACCTGCCATAGATATGAAATACTATATATAATCTTTTTTTATTAATTTATATACATATATATATTAGCCCTAACAGTAGGCAGATCCGATCATTACAATAAGAAGATATCAGTCAGGGAGAAAAGATCTTGTTTAATTCCATCATAATGTACAGTTGATTAGTTCGAGTAACGTCTGCGTTAATTCATACATGGTACTTTATACTTCTGGGCTTATTTGTATTACTTATATAACAACATATGTTCTGAAAATATCTACATAACAAAACCAATGTCCTGAAATAATCTACATAACAAAAACAATGTTTGAAAAAAATCTAAATAACAAAGAAACTAAGTTCATTTTGTTCAAAGGTCATATGAAAGTTTTTTTAAGGATTCGCATTTCTGCAGTATTAAATGAAATAACGCAGCTCGTATTCAGTGGTTGTCGTTGGTTCATGTCTGTTATATTTGTTATTAATTACGCCGTTCACTTTCTCCTTTGAATTGTTTCATATTTTTCTTGTCGGAGTCTTTTATAGCCGACGGTATGGGTTTTTCTCAATTTTTAAAAACTGTACGGTTGCCTATAATTGCTAACTCCCTTTTTGTTTGAACTCTGGTGGATAGTTTGTCCAATTGGCAATCATACTACATCTCCATATTCTTATATAAAACATATCCTTTACTCTTAACTTACAGATGCATTTTAAATCAAACTGATATCAAATTGGCGTCGTTTTTCAACTCCTGAATATCAGGAAATGTAAGTTTCTTAGAAGCTTAGTGTGTAAACAATATCTTTTTTTAGAAACAGATAAATAAATACATACATCAATACAATACATGGATTGGAAAACAAGTGACAAGTCACTTATACAAATTCCTTTCCTTTATAACTTAGAAACTTGGGGCATTACAAAAATCACAAAACACGATTTTCAAAACTACAGTAGAAACAATGTACAGTTTCACCCCTACCTAGACTACTCAAGGAATAATTTAAATTAGTCACGAAATGCGGAAAGTAGACAGGCGAGTTACGGGAAACTAAAGAAAAACTATTACTCTTAAAAAAAAACACGTTCATCCATTTCCTTAAGCATAATTAATTTCTTACTTATTATTTGACAATGTAGATATTGTATAATACGTATTAATTCCATTCAATCACCTACCAGCGATTTCACAGGCATATTTTATCTTTTAGTAACTAAATATTTTATCGGGATTCTAGTTATTGATCAATAGAACAATTTCTCGTATTTCTTCTCAAGTATGCATTAAAGGCGAGAAAAGCATTTAAAAATAGATTAAAAAAGAGAGAAACAATCGTAACATCAACGAATCCTGATAT